ATACTTTCATTTCTACTAAATGCTTGAGTATTTATTAGCGTAGTTAGTTGTAAGCATTTCGCCTTTTTACTTGGGTGATAGGTGGTTCGATTCCCCGCTGGGTAATATAATTTTTTTTGGCCTCTGACTCGGTGGCTGCCACGTTTTGTTGTGGTTTATAGCTAGGCTGCAGTATCTACGCTTTTTTTCAGTTCGATTTTTGGGTTAACAGCTAGCCTGCGATAGCGGCGGATGCTCAATATTCATGTCACGAGTAATATTCCTTCAGTACAGATTAATGCTACCCATTTTTGTCTGGGTGGACACGGATGCCAAGCTCAATTTAACAACAATATTTCGTCAGGCGATAACTTTCCCATACTTCGTAGAGGATGATTTGATTATCACGGGAGGAGAAAGGGGGTGGGTGGGGGTGTCGAGTGGGGTTGATGCCAGACACTGTTAACTGAGAGAGCTTAAAACATTTTTTTTTTTACTTTTCTAATTTCTTATCTATTTCTATTTTAATAATGTCGCCACATAATAATGTTTCAATCATTTAGAGAGGGAGATATAACAGGGCAGATGCTTGAGTCCTTGGTAGCTGTAGTTGTCTATTTTGTGTTACGTGGGTGACTGGCGATCAATGCCCCGCTGGGTAATAACAATTTTTTTTGCCGTTTTATTGTGGTTTACAGCTAGGCTGCGATATCTACGTCTTATTTCCGCTCGATTTGGGGGTTTACAGCTAGCTACTATATCGGACCCAAACTATTTAGTCTTAGGTAGTATATTTGTACGTATTCCGCCCTTCACGTGGTTGACCGGTGTTCAATTACCCACTGGGTGCTAATTTTTCTTTTTCCCCCAAGAGGGCTGTTGGCATGTTGTGTTGTAATTTACAGCTAGGCTGCGATATCTGCAAATTTCGCCCAAAGACATCCGATTTCAGTAAAGTCTCATTTATCCTCCCCGCGACGCTTCACTTGATAATAAATTATTCGTAGATGACAGAAGCTGTTAACTAAGACTGCTTACAGTCCAGTTTACTTTGGGTGGACACGGATGCAAAGGTCATTTAACATTCGTCTCTTCGGAGAGGGGAGATGACGGGTTGGGGTTTTTTATTTCCGCTATTTGTGAGTATAGAATGGACTATCACTGTGGGTTCCATCACTGGTTAGGTGATAGAGTTTTTTTTTTCTTTTTCTTTGTCGGAAGTTCAATTACACTAAACAATCTGTGGCGACATCATGCAGCGCTAACCCCTCTGGCTACACCGACCTGCACAGACAGTAGTGACTGTTCTTTTTTTTTTCTGAAGGTGATGGTGGTAGTGGTAGCTGTAGTACGGGTACTGGATTGGTGATGTGGTAGCTGTTATACTGGCCACATTTACTTCTTATTACACATTAATGCTTTCCAACTGTCCCTGGGTGTACACGGAAGCAGAGCTCAGTTCAGTTACAATATTTCGTCAGATGATGACTTTTCCATCCTTCGGCGAGGATGATATGATTAGTGTGTGTGTGTGGGGGGGGGGGGGAACTGCACCCGGTACCCACTCCAGGCTGGGTCGACCTGGAAGCCAAGGTCATTTTTGAAAAAGTCCGACTCCACCAGGGAGCGAACCCACGACCTTCCGATCCTTGGCGAGCGTCTAGCCGCTCGGCCACGGCGACGCCCTCCCGAAGCGAATACGAAGCGAATATTCGGTACATCCCTACTTTAAACGCGGCCTCAAGAGCAAAGTTTGAAGAGCAAGGTTTGGGAAACCACAAGGGACCTGCAACTGACATGCATATATAGAGAGGCAACCCACCTGACGATCTGACCTGAGCATACGAAAATAAACACAAAGAAGAAAACAAACACAAGAAAACGCTAAAAGTGTGCTAGAAATTCCAGTAAGGAAGCCATTTCATTGTATCTTAACAATATTGTTGAGAATGACAAGCGTGTTGAGCACGTGACATCACAAGAACACCTTGACTGCATATTGACAGTTTAAATATGGCTGCCGCACTTTTAACATGCACCAAAGAGGAGCAGTGTTCTGTTGTGTTTTTTTTTAATCAGTAGAATGGTGAAACCTATTGAAAATCACAATTCATTGTCCAATGAAGGTCTGGTATCGTTACTGTAATTTCTATCATAATTATTAGGTTTTTTCATTTTGAAGCGTTTCGTGCTACACCTATTATCAATGTCGACTAACATGCAGCATTTTCTTTATAATTGTAGAAGACTACAAATTGTTACACGCTTACAGGTTCTCTGGTCCAATGAAAACATTTTGTGGAAATGCGGTTGGGAAAGGGAAAAGGGGGGGTGTGATCTGCACCGTACCTGGAGTGGAAGGCGCGATCAGTGTTGTTTAAATGCGTCATAATAATAATTTGCTAACTGCCACACAGTGATACAATTTTTGACATAATGCTATATACGCAGCGCACAAATGATACAGGTATTGAGGTGGACTGGTGGGAACAAAATGACATGGACCGTGTTATGTGGAGGGGGCACATCAGGAAGGGAATGAGACTTGAGGAAGAGATGTTTTGGCAGAAAGGATGAGAGCTGAGCGTTTGAGAAGAAACAGGATAAACACAAATGTTGAAAGAAAGGACCCTAAATCCCATGCTATCATTGTGGAAGACTTTTCTTAACACTGGCTGGTCTTTCTAGTCACAATCGCCATCGCCATAGGCTGTGAGTTCCATACCTCCTCATAGCTTCTGTACATGGTTGGTAATGGAAAAGGAGTGGAGAGAAGAGGTGGGGTTTAGTTGCCTGCACGCGGTTATCCCTGAAAAGGGGGGCTATATAGAATAAGATTCTTAGACATTAAAAGCCAAATGCACAATATAGCTTTGAGAGTAAACGACCCTTTTCCAGAGAAGAAGAAGAAGAAGAGTTGCCTGCAAGAAGAAGAAGAAGAAGAAGAAGAAGAAGAAGAAGAAGAAGAAGAAGAAGAAGAAGAAGAAGAAGAAGAAGAAGAAGAAGAAGAAGAAGAAGAAGAAGAAGAAGAAGAAAGAAGAAGAAGAAGAGAAGAAGGAAGAAGAAGAAGAGAGAAGAAGAAGGGAAGAAGAAGAAGAACGCGAAGAAGAAGAAGAAGAAGTGGAGAGAAGAAGAAGAAGAAGAAGAAGAAGAAGATCCCTGAAGAAGAGAAGAAGAAGAAGAAGAAGAAGGGTGGAAGAAGAAGAAGAAGAAGAAGCACGAAGAAGAGAAGAAGAAGAAGAAGAAGAAGAAGAGAAGAAGAAGAAGAAGAAGAAGAAGAAGAAGAAGAAGAAGAAGATCCCTGAAAAGAAGAAGAAGAAGAGAGAAGAAGAAGAAGAAGAGAAGAAGAAGAAGAAGAAGAAGAAGAAGAAGAAGAAGAGAAGAAGAAGAAGAAGAAGAAGAAGAAGAACTCAGAAGAAGAAGAAGAAGAAGAAGAAGAAGAAAGAAGTAGAAGAAGAAGGAAAAGAAGAAGAAGAAGAAGAAGAAGAAGAAGAAGAAGAAGAAGAAGAAGAAGAAGAAGAAGAAGAAGAAGAAGAAGAAGAAGAAGAAGAAGAAGAAGAAGAAGAAGAAGAAATAGAAGAAGAAGAAGAAGAAGAAGAAGAACAACAACAACAAACAAAATCAAACAACAAGAACCACTCCAAAAGATTAGAAGTATTAACAACAACAAAATCAGTAACAAAACAACAAAATCTACAACAGCAACAATAATTACCACCAAACAACAAAAACAACAAGACGAACCAGAAGAAAAAAAAAGAAGATATTAGTTTTACACATATTTAGATGTTAGTAGATTAATGGAATTTGTTCACTGTTGTTAACTTGTCTTTGCTTGCTCTATGAAATGAGACTGAAGCACGTGTAGAGATGTAATGGAAAATAAATCAAATCCTCAACCAAACATAAACTTCGCATCAAGTGTACTAGCTGAAATGAATGTTCTGATAATTTATTTTTTAAAAAAGCCCATTTGTGGCAACTGTACCTTCGTGCCCCCCCCCCCCCCCCCCCCCCCCCCCCCCCCCCCCCCAGATATGCTTCTTCGTCTCAAAGAATAAGTACACAATGCTTTGTGGTGTTGGTAGTCATGTATGTTCACAACCTTCTGTCTCATGTGCTTTAAATCAACTCTTACACAGATGATCCTCCGTGAACTCAAACTGCCCATCCTCTCTCTCTCGTCTCCCTCTGCCTCTCATCTCCTCCAACTTTGCTACTGTCACGATGTACTCCTGTTTCCTACTCCTCATCACGTGACCAAGGATGTTATCTTGTCATTAATTAGCGTTTATGACAAACATACATGTAGTAGGAATCAGTCTGTTTATTCACTTCTTTCCTAATATGTTATTATCACTTAAAAACACGCAAAAAATGTGGCCTGGCTGATCTAAAAAACTAATGTTATCAGAAGACAAAGATGGCGAACCCATTCATTTAAGACTCCTTGGTAAATTTGTAAACAAAAATAAACGATGTTTAAAAAAAAAAAAAGCTTTCACAAATGTATAAGATTCATAGTTATGAATGTTGGCATTCCTGAAGCAGTCGAATTCAGCTGATGTGTTGGAAATATGAAACAACCTTGTTAACCTTAGCAACAAACGCCGATAAAAACTGGGTACACTATATATTAAAGCAAACAAACTACGTGTATGTTGTTGATTTTGCTACTTTTGCTTATTTTATTACTTTGCATATTTCCAGTGTTTGAGCAGTTTGATTAGTTTAAGTTTTGTTAACTACGTTTGTGTATGGTAATCAACTTATCGTGCCCGACTACTTTTATCAACGACAAACTGCATTTCTAGTGGCAATTGTTGGCTTTGCCGCCTCTAGCAACTGAAATACCCATTTACTGCATGCACATATTTCTAGTGTTGTTGTTTCACTAGTTCTTCATATGCAACAGTGAGGGACATTTCAATTGATTTGCACTAGCACAAGTATGGGGAAACCCGAATGCGGTGATGTTGAAACCTCGACTAACTAACTAACTTACTGTTGACTACGGTAAATTACCTTTTAGCTATACATTGCCTAAACGTGCGAAATAATGTATTTCGAAATTTAGTGTTATACTTATAGTAAATAAGCAGATTTACTGCTGAGTTCAGCTCTTCAAAATGAGTCCGAATACCGTTAAGGGACAGGTACAAATATGCATTTTGTTTACCGATAGTGAATGTGGGCTCACTCATTGACCCAATGCTGATAAACAGTTTTGGTATGTTGCAAAGAACGTATACAACCGATATTAGAACCACTTGCTGGACCACACGTACTTCCTTGTTGGACCGCTTGTGTGGAAGAACACTTTTCATAGCACCGTCTGCAACTTCTTTTTTCAAACAGATTTTAGTTTTAATGACTTCTTCATACACTTTCCTAGATACTGCTGTCGAAGACTGTCTGAATCTGGAACTTGCTCGAAGACTGGTAGACATGAGAATTACACAAAATATTACTATAAATTCTGTGGTCAAAGGTAAAATGACTTCAGTAAATATCCAGACGACTTCCTTGACAGTTTCCCGCGCAGGAGATTCCCACCAGATTAGTCGAGACCTGTTGGCCAGTTTGTCGAACTTCATTGACATTCCCATGTTGGCTAAAATCGGAGAGTAGATGACTATTGAAGAAATAGTGAAACAAATCAGGAAGAAGACTGATCTCTTCCGAGTGAATGCATTCTTGAACTGTAGAGGTTTAGCAACGCACATACTGCGAGCAATTGCTATATATGTTCTGGTCAGAATATTGATTACGTTGAGAATAATCATTATACTAGTAAAATAAATAGACAAACCCAGAGGTTGTATTGGAAGAAATATAGATGATCTGAGTTCTGCAACATGAAGAGTCACTGTTATCATAAGACATAAACCTGCGAAAAGATATATCAAATCAAAGATGGCCAAAGAAAGAAAAGACACTACGACACCATCATAAATTCCCATCTCTACGAATGTTTTAATGACGATGATGTTTGAAATTATTCCCCAAAATGATAGAAATGTCCCCATCTCAATAGCGTACTCCAAGATAATGATGTATTGCTCCCTAGTAACGATACCTCGGATCGTGGTCAACGCTGTTGTCTGAATTTCAAGTGTGGTCATTTCAGTGGACGACATCACAAATTTCTTTTTACCGTGACGGTAATAATCTGAAGGGTCGTATTATTATTTCTGATGGCAGTACAAAACAGGGCGAAACATTCTTTCTCATAAACGCATTGATATATGTTTGTTGGCATTCATACATGACATATGAAACAATAAAAAAAGTTCTTAGGACACGCTAAACAACATTCGCCTTTGTTTGTCCTACTGTTTCAATGGCCTCAGTAAATCTCCAGGGGTCTATTTATGTGTAGATAAATGTCGTGAATGCTGTAGGAGATAAACAATAATAAATCTAATTCAAAATATATGTGACTCAATCAATACATGACTATTCACAATTCTAAGTTATATCACAAGACACTCCTCTTCTCAGAGTTATCTGCACCTTTCGGCCCACCAGATCCCATTTTACCAAACTGATAAAATACTGTTAGCGTTTACGATTCGAAGCTATCAGACAAAGCTCGCTTTCCGAGCTAGAAGTGGTGGCCTTTCTTTCATGCTTAGTGACTTTTTACACGCGCTGGTCTATCCTACAGGGGTGTCACGTTGTGTTGTCTTTGATGCTCTCATCAGCGATATCGCGTGTTCTGTCTTACACGTTGTGACCGCTCTTAACAATCGCAGAACATCTAGAACTGTCCCTATCTCCACCCGTCCTTTCCTCAGCCTACTTCCCAGAAGAGAGAGTGCAGCCTAGCTACCCAGGAGTGTATGCAGCATAAACCCCACATACGCGACACATGTGGACAGCGGCGAAAGAGAGAAACAGCAGGCAGAATCGGACGCACAATCTTTTACTCGAGTCCCGGTGTGTAGAGACAGGAACGAACGCATATGCTAATACCCCTAGATAATAATCAACGAAAGGTCGGGAAATCTCGCTGGCCGACGACAACCGTTTGTTTGGGTGAAAAATGTTACCTGTTCCAGGAAAGGAAACAATTGTTTGAATGGGGACACCTATTGAAGATTGGTAGACTCTTGCCATTAGCCGATCTTGGGAGACTGGTCAGAAACCAGGTTTAGAGCTGGAAAGTTGGCTTACTGGATAGATGTTGTTCGAACAGAAGCTGATCAAACGGACGTTGGTCTAACATACATGGGCTTATTTACGAGAGACTTGACAGAAGTAAGCCATTATTCTTCCTTGCCCCTAAGTCGACGACGGAGAGGCAAACTGTGTACTCTTTCTCATACCCCAGACTGGTTACCAGATCACTGTAATTTTCGAGCTTGTACAAGTGCTGATGAGGAGTCGCTGACCGAACGGTTAGAACTCTGGGCTGTCATGCGGGAGACCCGGTTTCAAATCTTCGGTAAGGCTAGGGATTTGTTCTGTCGGGGCAACATAAAATCTTCTCCTGCACAGTCATGACTGCTGCTTCAGGCATGAGGCCTTTGATCCTCAGGCTCAAATTACGGCCCCCCCCCCCCCCCGCCTAAATCGCAGAAGTGGTACATACAGGCAGTAAGTGGCGGTTTTGACAATAATTTCAGTCGTCCCATGATTGATGCAAGTTTTCGTTATTTAAAGCTCCAGCCGGGGCCCTAAATACAGCCGGGCCATAAATATGACCAAAAGGCTGAAATTGGTTTCTGAGACCTCTCCACGGGTGATTCTCATCCTGCTGTCACTGGGTGTTTATCGCTTGTGTGATGTCCTCGTGGGGTACGAGAGAGAGAGAGAGAGAGAGAGAGAGAGAGAGAGAGAGAGAGAGAGAGAGAGAGAGAGAGAGAGAGAGAGAGAGAGAGAGAGAGAGAGAGAGAGAGAGAGAGAGAGAGAGAGAGAGAGAGTTTGACAACTGATGATCCTCAGTCCTCGATTCACACATAACGCATAACTAAACCAGCATCCACTGGCGAGCTGTCAAAAAAGAGCAGCATCATCTTTGACCTCAGCTGTGTCTTCCGGATCGGTTCGAGCTACTCCTCAAAGCCACGAAAGTCTACCGCTAGTTGCCAGCCTGTCTTTCATCCTAACCCGGTTTATGATGTCGCCCAGTACCAGCAGAACATGTTTGTGCCTCTGACCCTGACCAAGTGAGTATTCTTTTCCACGTAGACAGCACCTGCTACAGTTACTGTTTCCTTTAACGTGGGGGCATGAGGCTCCATTGGATTCTTCCATAATGATGTTTAACAACATTAAAAACTACTGAGTAGGGAACGCTACTGTTGAGGGATTTTATGTGCTTCCGGGCACCATGCGTTGTCTGTATATATGGCTAAAAAAGTATGAACTCTATAATTTTGAGATACCATTGTTAATAGTAAGCGGCAGGGAATTTGGCAAAAGAATAGTTTGCGTCAATTTTCACTACCATAAAGACGTGTCGGATTGATCAGAAAACAAAGGCTAACTGTTGAATATAAAAACTGCCCAGCAAAACAACAAAACAGCCACACACAAAATATTTGGTTAGCATAAGTCTTGTATTGTATAAATGCATTAATGAATTATTGAAGGGATGAGTGAATGAATCAATCTATAATTGACATCACTGAACTTTAAACATTCCTTCTCCCATGTGCTACGATCCGTTCTTGACTACCAGACGACGGGTCGACATGCTAGTAGTACCAACTGCAACCTGATTAAAATCATCTGATGTTTACCCATCAATGTTGAATATCCCTCAGAAACTATTCACTTCTCTCCCCCCCTCGCCCCCCTCCCCCCCCCCTTTGTTTTCTTTGAAACTTTGTAAATTAGTCTGTCAATGTATGGACTATCTGCTTGTTTTACTGCACTGTCCATCTGATCCGAGAGAGCTTTCGGCACGTCTGCAGTTTACCGCCAAGAGGAGCTGCAGCAGCCGACTTCATGTTTGAGATAATGAACAATCTGATTTACTGTTTGCTGCCGCCCCTCGAGGCGGGGTGCTACTTGTTAATAAATTAGATTTTATTCAGGCTCTTTGCGATCAAGTGAATAGTGCAATGGAGCTAGCAGACAATCTATACCTAGCAACACCGATCCAGTGGGGAATAATCAGTGAGTCTGTGTGGTTTCCAACACTCAGGGTACATGGCAGGCGGACTTTAAATCAGAATGTAACCGGCACCATCACTGTTGGTACTCTTAGTTGGCTACCGAGAAAGGGGATTGAGCACGTATTGCGATGACAATTAAGTTGCGATGTCAGTTTTTGATTGATTGACTCGTTCATACATTCATGTAATGATCTATGCAAATGATACCCTTTGAAATGATACTACAGAAGAAAAGGAAACAGCATTGCACTAACCAGAGTATAGGTATAGTAATAGTGGTAGCTGTGTGAGGAAGCCAACCACACACAGAGAGAGAGAGAGAGAGAGAGAGAGAGAGAGAGGGAGAGAGAGAGATAGAGAGGGAGAGAGAGAGAAAGAGAGAGATAGAGAAGGAGAGAGAGAGAAAGAGAGAAAGATAGAAAGAGAGAGAGAGAGAAAGAGAGGGAGAGAGAGAGAGAGAGAGAGAGAGAGAGAGGTAGTGACAAGGAGATAGACTGACACATACCGAGAGAAGATTCACTATATAAAAATATACACAGAAAACTGGAATTTTATTTAAAATGTAAAACTTTGAGACTTTATGCAGTCTAAGAGAAAAATTTTTTGCTGTCCGTATTCATTTAAAAAAAAAAAAAAATATAGCGTGTTGGTCTCCAAATAAAATGTCAACTCGAACTAAGTCTAATACACGTACTTATGTTCGACTTTGTGAATTATTTCTGCCGAGGTCTGTGTTACCCAGTATTCTCTAATCATTCACTTAACGACGATACAAAGAAAGGATCACAGAGTTATGGCTTGAATAAAATAATTGTAATTATACAAAATAAGCCTTTTCTTCAACTTCAGCTATTATCAACATTTCTTCTGAAGCTCACGTGTTGCTTTATGGGAGCGATCTCAGTGTCGATTACGAGATGTTTTGCTGAATTCATATCTAAAATATCATATTCGATAAGGTAATTCCTCTATCCTGTCCTCTGATAATAATATAACCATGTGATTGCAAAAGAACTTACAGCCGTATAGCCATTTTGTTCACCCCTACCCGAACACACAATAATATCGTAAATCATATTTGTGTTATGTTTCGATTCACACTGTGTCATTTGTTTTGTCCTAGATCCACACTTAACGCTAATATTCAAATCCATTTTAAAAGCTCAATATGTCCATATCTATACCGTTATAATAAATTGTAGACATTCAATAATTCCATGTTTATAATAGGTAAGAAAAACTCCACACGGGTGCACGCACAGCAGGGGTCCACCGGCCATCAGTAGAGATCCTTTGTCGACAATTGTTTCGGCCCATTATTCCCTAAACAATCTCGGAAGGTGGGTCGACCTGGGCCATGAAGCCAGGCCAAGATCTTCCCCTGCTACACTTCAACGGACTCGATAAGGACAACACGATATGGTGACTTTGCAACAGGTGCTGTGAGATTCAGTGTTATATTGTCGCTGGGGTAGCCAATTAGATCAGTTGACTATTTTAATGACCAGAGTGACAAGCTTATGGCTCTTTCAGCAGCCTCGCCCAGTTGTTTTAGTGACCGTTTACGCTCGTTTCCTAGCAAGCCCAGCTGCTTTAGCACATTTTACGTGGAAGTGTAGAAAAGACCTCTTGCACCTACCTCGATTTGTACTACGAGCTGCATGTACTTTTCGAGGTTGTACAGGTGATTTTCTTCCATCCGCGACTCATACGGCACGGTCAGCTAAATCAGGATGAGCTGGCGTTTTCCGCAGAGTGCAGGACTATGTCTGGTCTCAGGTCGTTCTTCCGTATTACCTCGAAACCAGGCAGGTCGAGAGCCAGTAACCAGTCCCTCGCACATTCAAGTTTTGATGGATGTCATATACCAGTTATGTCGCGTGTCTTTTCTTCAGGGTTTTCCCTGTTGACTGCCAAGGCACTCTGAGATAGGGACAATATTGGATGGTGGCTCTCGTTGGTCTAGACGGAAATCCCGCAGCTTCTAACAAACATCCAATCGATATCAGGGG